CTTGTCACAGGACTCCCAGTGTTTAGTCCCCAAGCTAACTTGGTACTCATTTTATCTACCCAAGGGATGGAAATCAAGGGATAAAAGGCTGAATTGACCTTGCCCAGCCTGGGGATTGAACCCCGGACCTGTGGTGCTGCTGTACGATGCGACAGGCCCTGCGCCTTTTTATTTTATTACGTAGAACAACAATTTACCTCCAAAATTATGTAGCAATAAATAAATAAATAAATTTATGCAGGAAGCAAGTGATAGAAAATTAACAGTAGAAAAGCAACAGAGACACTAAATGAAAGCCTAAGTTAGAAATATTTTTTTCTGCTTTAGTTTTATTTTGATTAATTAATTGTAAGTCTCAGTTTGCAAATTTGGAATCGTTATTGGCTGAAATGTTATAAAGATGCCTGTGTTATTAGTGTTGTGGAAGAATCATGTCTTGGTTTTAATTTTGAAATAGCAACTTAAAGAGGTTATTTGTAAGCAGTTACTGCTTTTAGAATTGAAAAGTGATATTACTAAATTAAAAAGGAAATTTAAGAGCTATTACAAATTAAAGTTAGTATTTTGTGGTAATTTGGTACTTCACTGGCAAACTTTCTTTACGTGCGGCTTGGATTCTAAATATTTGTATGAAGCATTTTGTTCTAACAGAATACACAGAAGGAAATTTTGAAAAAAAAATGGAAGGGGAAAATAAAGAATGCAAAAATTGTCTATATATCTTACAATGAACTTCATTATGCTGTTAGATGCCATGTGGTTTAAAATTATATAAGTTTTCATTCATTGCCAGCTTATCCAATTTTTAACATTATCTTATTTTTTAAAGATTGTTATGTGGTTATTAGTGGTAGTAAGGGAACAAAAATCAGCATAGTATTTGTAAATTTCTGGGACTAGTTTTGAAAGTTTAAACAGAGAAAGCTGCAGAAGGGCAAATGATAAAAGAGAAGCTTCTTGTGCTTGAGTAATAACTATCAGAGGAAGTTAGTCAAGCTGCTGGTGCCATCTATAGATGAAAACTGAAAATAATTATTATTTTCTTAAAAGCTGAGGGTAAAGATGGATTGGAATTGTGATCCTTAATTAGACTTGGAAAACTTATGTGAATGTCAAACACCTCTAAAAAAATCTAATTCACAAACAGGAAAAAAAAAATTTTTTTGAATAGTTTTAGCTGCTAAAAAATGAGAAATTCAATTTTTCTGACTAACAATATGGGGCAGCTGAGGATTTAGGTATCTTTTTTCCTAACATATGCTTCATGTTCCTTAGCATTAAATTTTAGGGCTCTCTTAGTTTGACCAATGTAAATTAAACTACACTGGCAAGGAATCTTGTATGTACGCCAGAAATTCATATCTATAATAGGGTCTTTTAGTACAGAACTGTGAATTTAATTAATAGAAGAGAAAATGATGCAAAAGTTGAATTTCTGTAAAATATGTGCAATTTTATGACTAAATTGATGGAAAGAAAGGGTTGACAAAAAAATTAAGAGCTTTTTGATATGCTGAGATAAGAATTTTTTAACTGTTTGGTTAACAATATTAGGTGAAAAGCCTCTATCAATAGCAACTACATTTAAGTAGTTTTCTTCGCGGTCAAGAGCTGACATGGAGGGGCAGAATGGAAGTGCTGAAAAAACAAAGTAATAAAATGAAGCTAACTCTTTTTAGTCGAAATACATGATTTAAAGTGTGGTGGAAGGCAAACTTATGAAGGTTTACGATATGCAGTAGTGCTGAAGTTGAATATATTGCATGTGACCAAGATGTCAAGGAGCAGAAAGGAATTTGATGTGTCAAGTTTCATAGCAAACTGAATAGCAGTATCATAATTCATAACTGAAAAGCAGTATAGTTAATAATGAATTCCAGGGTCAGTCAAATTCGTTAATAATTAATTCCATTAATCCTGCTATTCAGTTCACTTTGGAACTTGAGACATCCAATTCCCTTTCATTCTTCAACATCTTGGTCACATGCAACATACCCAAATTTTAGAGATTTACAAGTACTGTTGTATACTGTAAATCTTCATCTGTTTGCCTTCCAGTATACCTCAGATTTTGCCATCTGTCTAAACAGAAGTTAATTCTTCATTTTATTCCTTCGTTTTCTGAGAACTTCTAAAAATCAATTATTTGGTCAAGTAGTAAACTACTTAAAAACTTAACGTTATTAACTAAGCACTTAAATTCTCAGTGCTTCAAAAAGCACTTTCTCATTTTAAAAGATTATGAGAATTCTGTTATATCTTTCTTTCCATCAATGAGCTATAAAATTGCACGTATTTTATAGAAATTTAACTTTAGAGTCTTTTTTTTTTCCTTCCCTTCTGTTGGTAGATGCTTTCATACTTAAAGATCCCATTTTGTATACAAACGCCTGTATTACATACAGGATTCCTTGCTAGTTTGGATTAATTTGTATTAGTCAGAGAATAAGACAGCCTTAAATTTGACACTTAGGAACATGCGACACATGTTGGGTAGAAAGAAATTTATAAATCCACTATTGATCGGAATTTCATAGTTTTCATTTTTCAGCTTTTAAAAGCATTCCGAAAGCATATTCTATTAAAAAATTGTATTTCCTGGAGACTTTTCACTTTCATAAAAATCTTTCAGCTCTAGTTAATATCAATTTTAATCTTCCTTTACTCTCAGCTTTTAAGGAAATTATTTCATACCTGGTTTAATTTTTCATCAGTAGATAGTGTTAGTAGCTTGACTGCTTTCCTTTCATTGTTTTTGTCTGCACACAGGCTTCTCTTTCTCATTTGTGCTTCTGCTACTGAAAAAGGTTCTGTATTTAAACCTTTGAAACTAGTCTAGCAATTTTACGAATATTACGTTGATTTTTGTTACCTTACTGCCTGCAATAATTGTTATTCGATGTGTTATTTTAACTCTTAAGTGTTATGGGATAAAAATGAGAACTGCGGCAGAGCGGTAAAGTCGCTGAACACTAGTAATTTTTCCTCCTGGGTTCGAATCCCACAAACAGGCTGGCTGCATGGGTGTTTTCGGGGTTTTCCCTATGTGTAACATGTATACGAGCCAGTTTCTCTTAGAAAGTCCTCTACAAAGGCATCCCTCCCCTTAGGCAGATAGCCGTAGTGTGCTTTGCCATGATTAAATAAACCAAACCATTTGAAAACTTATAATTTGCTCTCATGTGAATTTAATTTATCTGTCATTAGTGACAACAATATGGCGAAGAAAGTTTGAGGTCCCCAGTTTATTGCATACAGGATCATTTGTGATATATTCTTTAACCAAGAGATGGTTCTGTTTTAGATTCCTGATTTATGAGATAAGAAGAGAAGTAATGATTATTATTTTGTGTACATTTCTTAGCGTATTTTTTTCCCTTTTAATAATTTTAATATTTCAAGACAAAATTAATTATGAATTTCCTGAAGTCATGTCATGCTGAATAGCAAAGAAACAGACTTATTTCAAACATATACAGATCCAGTTGAAAGAGAGAAAGTTCATGTAGGATTTAAAATTTGGAAGAAGAAAGCAATTTCAGTTTGGGGTAGATTTAAGATTAGATAAATTTATTCAAAATTTACATCAGTCTTAAGATTTTTTTTTTTTTTCTTTTTTTGTTCTAATTTAAAATGTCTAAAAATCTGTTGAAGAACAAAGTTAAACTTCTTGTCAGCAAGATGAAATACATATCTTAAAAATATGAACTGGGAGTAATAATTGTTTTTTTGTCTTCCTCCTCCCACACATTCTAAATATGTCTTATGTGCTTATTTGTAAGTCAACTTGTGCAAAGCATTTTCCAGCTTTATCTAGAAATATCAGTAATTAATTTGTAATATTTTTCCCTTAAAAGTAGTTGAATGCAAATAATAAAAAGTTACTGTCTTTTACTGGGATTTAAACTTATAAAGAGACCATGGAAATTAGGCTAAAAAGCAGCCTCAGCTCCTTGTAGATTTTGAATGAAATTTTGTCGTTTTCAGAGAATTAATATCTTCTTTTTGGGAACAAAACTGTTAGTTTGGTGGGACAATCATTTTGTATGGAAAATAATGGGTGGAGCAAAGCAAAAATAAATATAATGCTGTCTTTCTTTTATTTACTGTCTTTCAAAGTAAATAGTATTAATTCCAATAAAGTTTCCCCCAACATTTTCAAAATTCTAGTATCTTTGTTTTTTCATGTTTCATTATTTTCTTCAGAGAGTACCATACTCATTTTTGCTTTGCTTCATGCATTCCATTCCCTATAAAAATGGCTGTTGCTTCTCCCAACTTTGCAAAACCTTTTTGCTCCTGAAGTTGACTATGTCTCAAAGTGTATAATTTTATTTAAAATCTTCACTAGCTTAACGCCTTTCTTTCTGCCTAATTTTAATTTTAAATTTGTATTTCTCTTCCAGTTTGATATGTATGTGTTTTTTCAACTAATAAGACATAATTCGAAATTTTGTCAAACTTACTGAAGGAAAGAGAAAAAAAAAAAAAAACTGTATAACCTGTATTCTAAATTTTTTCAAATCATTACTTAAAATGAGATAATTTAAAAAAATGCTCAAATTTACTGTCTAATAATTTTAAATTTTCATTTTGGATTAATGTAATTTTATTTTCTAAAGTCTCGTATTTATATTCTTCTGTCAAAAGTCGTATGGTCTGTGAATTTGATCTTCCCAATTTTTTTAATGAAAAAACGAATTTTTTTAAAAATATCTTCTTTATATATGACTTTAATGTCTCCCTTTTTTATATTTTATTTATTAAAAGGAAATGCATGTTCATATGAGCAGTCTTTGTGTGTTCAGATTGTAATAAATCATAATTTAAAATATTCAATAAAGTTTTCAGTAATCATGTATGTGATCTGCCACTTTTAGTTTTTTATTTCTTAGATGGTGCCATTAAAACATTAGTTGTAAATTCAAACAATAAAATAGCATTAAAAGAAAAACTTAGACCAAGAGCCAATTTTAGTGCTGCCATCAAAAAAAAAAAAAAAAAAAAAAAACTAAAAGTAATAGGTCACATATTTTAATTAACTAATTTTCATAATAAAAGTAGCGAGAGTTTCCATAACTGAAAGCAGTTTCCCAAATATTTGTTTTCACTATTTGCCTATATTGAATGATGATCTAATGAGATTTTTCACTGTCTAGAAAAAAGGTGGCAGGCACAAGTAGCACTGTTAAGAAGGAGAGAAGACGTGATAGGTAAATATGAAGAAGTTGAATAGTAGTTGCTTTAAAAGTAAACAAGCTGCTGATTTAAAAGATTGGTGGTAAAAGTAGCATTAAAAGTTTAAAAATTGATATTAAATTTACTAAAAATTTGAAATGGTATGATGTTAGATGTAATAGCTGAGTCATTTTCTTTGCCATCAGGACACTATTCAGTATTTTTACATATGATCTTTCAGCATTCAGAATACTAGCTCATATGTACACTAGCCTAGAAAATTCAGTAATTTTCTTCTCACTTTTTCTTTAAAAGTTTAAGAGAATTATTTTTCATAAATATTTAAATTGAATAAATATGAGAACAATAAAATACTCTTTAAGGAATGAACAGTAGATACTGTTTAATTTGATGATTCAGATATTGCTATTGAAATACCCAAGTCTTGCCCATCTAAGGTCGGCCCACCTGTGTATGATCATTCCTGAAATCAACAGACTTTTTAAAAATCCATCCCAAACTGCACAAAAGGTAGCTTTTATTGGAGAGGGAGACTCAATTTTAAATAGTTGACTAAAATAAAAACCAAGCAGTTTGTCGACTTAATCCTTTCTTGGAGACATTATTCAGTCATTTGGCAATTTTTTAAATTTATTTTGAATATTGGTATATGCAAACAAGGAAAATACACTGCTTAATGTAAAGAACAATTTGGTTAATATCATCAAAATGTTCTGAAATGAATTTTTGAAACTAAAGTAAATTCTCCAGGTACGGTGAAAATAAATTAAAAAAATTACCAATATACTGAATAAAGCTATAAAGTAAAAGATCAAGTCAGTAAACTGCTTAGTTTTTGTTTTACTCAACTATTTAACATGGGTAAAAAAAACGGCCTTTTGTTTAGTTTGGCACGAATTTTTAATAAGTCTGTCAGTTTTGAGAAAGATAAAACACAGGTCTCCAGTCTTCAGACAAAAGATATCTGTCATGGACTTTCTGAAACAAATCCAAGCACATCATATAATAAACTTTCTGAAGAATGTAAAGATGAAATATGTGAATTCCATATAAATAAGGAATGCCCTCTGAGTATTAAGATTAGGGATACAGTATCTGTCAAAATAATTTCTAAAACATTAGATGCAGTTCATAAATAAACTCTTGCATAATGCTGGCAGACAATCTACTAGTAGCGAATTTTTTCTAGTTAATGTGAAAATAAGTGTTTATGTTTCTAATTGTATAATGATATTAGTTAAATTCTATTGTTGATTTGAAGTTTTTTTTTTTTTTTTTTTTTTTTTTTTTTTTTTCATCATTTAATGTTATCAAAACATTGGACAAACATAATCACATTAAATGATGGCTACTGTGTTAAGCTTTTGAAAAAAAAGCAGGTTGTATCTTTTGTGGTTTGAAGTAACAATGTTTAACCTGATGGTTACCCATGCAGAATTATGTTAACTTTTTGGCAAAAGTTATTCTCCACTTTCCCTAGTCACTAAGATTCAGTATAAACAAACATGGTTATGAACTCGCCACTAAACATCTGGTCCCTTATTCATTTTCAATGAAAGTTTAATCAGGAATTTCTATGCTTGTGGCTATAAATATCTTGGTGTGTGTATAGTGGATAATGGCATAGCTATTATTCTAATTACAAAAAGTGAAATAAAAAAATGTGTAAATTAAAAAAAAAACACATGAATAAGTGAAATTGCTTGTATTTTTTAAGACAAGTAAGTGCTTTAATTTACACAGTAAAGCTACTTGGAGGAATATATGTGCATCAGGTGGGCATGAAAATGGTTTGTTGTATACAACATGATGAAAGAATTGTTTCGTTATTTCTTGATGGAATCTATAGTCCTTTGGACAATTGTCAGTGGGGAACTTTCATTAATGAGAATGAAATCCTGAGCCTGTCTGATAGATAACAGGTTATAGATGATGATTATTTGTATTTTCTTTAATGTTGAGTAAGGAAGAAATATTCCTGTGTAATATTTAGGAACTGCATTTGAATATCTCGTTGAAAAAGAGGAACATTATAAATTTGTCATATTAAAAATTGAGATATTGTTTTAGATGATCCGTTATTGTGTTCCAGTACTTGTTTTTTCCCAATATATTTAAAGTGGTTAGTGAGATTGGTATCTTTTTTAATTATGATACCATTTATGTTAAGATTTCTTGGTTGTGATTGACATGTTTAGATGATATAATGCTACTGGTTTTGAAAGCATTGTGGTGAGCTTTTATGTAATCTTATTTAAAGGTGTTATTTTTTAACAGTCTACTGTTGTTTTTGCTAAAGTACAATTAGATGATTTTAAGACTTCCAATTGTACTTTACTTTTGTAAAACAAAAGTTATACCATCAGTATTTAGTATAACTGTTGAAAATTCTGTTGGAAAGTATCTTTTTTTTTAAGTAGTTTGTTTTGTTAATTTCTTATTTTGAATGAAGATATTTATGCAAATTTGAAAATTGGGGAGATTTTGCAATATGTTTATAATTTAGTACCATCTAAATAAGAAAGAACTTTCCATATTATGTATTTGTATTCAGATCTGATTGTAGATTGTGATGCTGTTTGAATATTCATGCTATTTGATGCAAACATTTGATCCTTTTATAAATAGTAAACGTCAGTTTCTCTTTTCTCCAGATGACGAATACTTAGTTTAGCTTCTTAAAATTAGTTTTAATGTTACTATTATCAGCAGTGTTTTCCAGTTTCTTGAGAGGCATTATATTACATTAAGCTATCAAAGCATTTTTCATCTGGGCTGTCTGGCAGGTATTATTCTGGAGATAAGGTCTTTAAATTCCAAATATCCTGATAGATAACCAGGGCTCAGAATGTTACTATGTTTTTCAAATTATAATTTCAATTACCTAAAAAAATTATTAAAAAATAAGACCTACTTCATAGTTTAATGCATGTTTTTATTGCCTAACAGTATGTTTGATATACTTCATTGTACTTTTTATACCATATGTTGAAACTGATAATTTTTTGAACATCTGCATTGCTTATTGCAGTTTTAAAAAATATTTCTAATACCATGTATATAATATGCATCAGTACAGAATAATCATTTGGTTTAACTTTTTGTATCAGTTAACATGAAAATCAAAGTCCAAATTCAGAATTATCATCCTTATTCAAATGAGTGGAATATGTGGCATAATTTTTTTTCAATTCATATATTCCCACTTCAGATCAGATTAATTTTCTTCTTTTATGTTTTCTTTGCTCTATTTTCGAGGCATGCAGTTTATGATTTAAGTAAAAATTTAATGATGAAATAGTGATTCATCAAGTTGAATTACTGGAATCGTTTAGATTGAGCAAGGTCTATTGAAGCATTGAAAAAACTAGTATCAAAATCCCTTGAGTGAATCAAGAAAAACATTCTAAAATGTAAAAAGTGAGTGGTAGAAAATAAAACTGGCATTTTAGAAATGATTTAATTTTGTTGGCATTCAATTCTGATTTTATTTCGATTATTAAATAATGAAGAATCTGCATTAAAAATGGAGGCATGCTAAGGCATCACTTTTTGAATGCACTTAGTTGGCCACCTGAAGTCGTGCATCTCAAAGCTTTAATTTTTATTTATTTCATATTTTTCATGAATTTAATGAGTTATTTATCAACGAACTCAGCGATTTAAAAGCAGTGAGTTGCCACTTTGCAAAGTATAAAATATTCATATTTCAAAATTAATTAGAAAACTCTGTGATCGAAAAGAAATATGTTGCTATTCAGCAAAGAGTAAGATGTTTGTCTTCCAAATTTAATTTTAAAATCTCAGCAGTTTTAAAGAAATGTCTTGTCACTGTGTAACATAAAATATTTTTAATCTTCCATATGCACTGTTCAGTGAAGAATAAGATATTTAATCTTTCTTTCAAATTTAGTTTGCTTCTTACTGATTAACAAACTAAGAGAGATTTATAATTGAAATTCTTTATTATTATTAATTAGCAGCTGGACTCATGAAAAGCATTACATTTTGTTCCCCATTTTTATAAGTATTTCAGTCTTTTATTAAAGAAATTACCAAATAAAGCTGTTTAAATTTGATAGCATTGAATTCTGGTTTTGGTTATTTAATTTCGCCTGAATAGAAATGATATATTTGTTGTGAAGATTTTTATATAAATATCCATGAATTGCTGTGAAAGAGTAAGTAGTCTGCAAAGTTTTACAAATATTTTTCTTCAGAGTCATCATTATTTGCAATTTTCATTTTGATTCTCCCTTTCCCAGATAATGGATGAAGAAAACAGTTTAAATTTTGGTTTAAACAGTTTTAATTATGTAAACATGGAAGAAATCTTACTTCAAGATGCTTTGTGGCATAAGTATGTATTATTTTATTATATACCTTAAGTGTTTTTTTTAAAGTAACAATTTTAAATTTTGATAGTTGTTACATTAAATTGAAATGCTACACTTATGTCTTCGAATGAGATAAAGTATATGTTTGTGTAACTGATCTTCAAAATCTATTTTAAATTTCTATGCTGTTATATTTTAAGTGTTAAATTTGAGATTATATTTCTAGAAATATGAGGGGTCATGTGCAAGGTGAAAAACAAAGTATTTAAGTTTGTATGTAAATAAAAGTAAAACACCATTTTAGGAAGAAACTTCTTTTGATTGATTAAATTATAAGCAGTGATATGCAAAATTGAAAGTTCTAATCAATACGCATTTTTTTAAAAAAGATATTATTCATAGCATTTTATAGAATTGATGTTTCAGAAAAGAATGGCAAGCTTCAGATATTGTCATATAGCTAAACTGCCCCATTATTTCCATAAATTAAAAATGAAAAATACTTTAAGCCCACTTTTATTTATTAAATTTGGTATAACAATTATAATCATGAAGTAATAAAAATGCACTTAAATATTAACATTTATTTAGTGTTTGAAAAGTTAATTCTTTGTATAAAAATGCTTTTGACGTACAAGATGTAACAGAATTATAAAGAATATTACACACTAGTAAATCAAAAGGGATATTACTTAATGATATTTCTATGTGTGTACAGATTCGTAATGGATTGAATGCATACAAGAACTTATAAAATAATAGCTTGATAAAATGTATTTTCCCAAAAGTAATACTTTACATTTCTTGAACTTTTCATAAAAGTACTCGTGCAGTTCTTCTCACTATGGCATAGCATAATCAATAGTTACCACTTCAAACTACTAAGAATGTTAGATATGGAGATCTTTCAGTACTCTGAACTGTAAACTAATACTCTGTCTCTGTCTTTATATAGTTTAACCCTAGCCACTGTGAAAATTTCCAGTACCTTCGATCTCACGAAATTGCTGGAGTGCGTGTACATAGGGCCAGATACAGTTATTTAGAGATTGAACTAACGTGTCTGAAGCGGTAGGCATTTCTTACCAAATTTGTTGACAAAAAATTAGTCACCAAAACCATCACCAGCTTGACATGGACCTTAGTTTGCTTGACATGGCTTGGCATACACCCTGTAACCTTATTTTTCTACCAGTTTTAATCTTTCATACCTTTACCAGTTACCTTTTGTATTTCATTAATAAGACATGATAAAAATTTTACATTATAAAATTAATAATACAAATAATTCCACTAAAATTATTTATATAGATACAAAGTTTATAACAATATTAAAATGAAGCGTTCAACCATAACTTACCCCCCCCTTTTTTTAAATGACAGTCAATTCTTGTCATATGGGACAAACCAAATCAAGTTCATTCGTACAAGTCAACCTTCTCGACTCCCATTTATCTTAAATTTAGCTGTAGAGGCCAAGGAACCATTAAAAAATATAAAAATTTCATAATTTCACGGAACTTTTTTAAAAATTTAACTATACCATATGAATTTTTTCCTTATTTTATAGCATTTTTTGTGCTTTTTATGGAAATGAAGATGAGTTTGTGTAATTAAGCAGTAATGTGCATATTAGTAAATGTTGAGACTCAGTGTTGTATTATCTCTCTTATAGTTTTATATTGAATATCAGCTGCCTTCAGAAAATGAATCCATTAATCCTCATGTCTTTTTACTATTTCTTTTTGGATAAGAGATGTTGATATTTGGATAAATGATATATAAATATGTGCTTGAGAAACAAAAAGATGGGTACTTGTCAGTCATAGCTGTTTTGGTGAGAAACAGATGGCTACTGATCTGTGCATTTAGTTAGTATTTGAATGCATGTAATTTACATTTCTTAATTGGCTTATTTCAACTTTGGTAAGAAAGCAATGCTTGCCAGTTTGATGCGCTTAATGTAATATATTTCTTCAGCTAATTTGAATTGAAAGAAGTAAAAGAATTTTCTTAGTTTTTCGTTGCTGAATATTGAATATGATTACAGTCTTCAAGCTTCTAATTGAAAGGAAAAGTTACTATGGTTCTTTTTCCTAAAAAATGTATTAGGGTTGTTCAAATGAAAAGGTACGAATCACAATTAATCTCCAAAGGCCTGAGCACAACTATCCCACTGTTTTATGAGCTAAAGGATTCCCTCTTCCCAGAATTCCTGTAGCTGTGAGAGGAGCCAGTTCTTCATTTCATCGTCTGAGTTAAAGCACTTAACTTTGAGATGGCACTTTTCACTAGGTCATTCACTTTGCTGATGAGTTTGGCCGTGATTACCATATTTGCCTGCCCCTGGTCTCTGGTCATCACTCAAAAACTTCGGCCCTTCACAAAAACTGGCACTCCACTTTCTCACTGACTTGTTGAACACAGTCTCACCCCATATACTGCCACTACCTGACGATGAAATATTGGCTGGTTTAACCCCTTCCACCCTCAGAAATCTGATAATACCTCGCTGTTCCTCATTAGTTGAATTCTGCAGTGTGTAGGCCATGATGTCATCACATGCACTGCTGCATCAGTTGGACGAAACACACAACTGCCTACTTTTCTCCTGCGTCATGTGCGGGCACCTGCACATGCACACAGACATGCCAGACACTACATTTGCGTCCTTAGATGTCTCACTATGATATGCCGAAGCAGCACATTCAAATTTCAACCTGTATGGTTGTTACAACATTACGTACCTTTTCATTTGAAAACCTCTTAAAACTATAAAAAGAACTCTGAAAATAACAAATGCAAAAAACTATAAAAATAACGACATGCAATATATTGGGAAAGAAACCATTTGAGTATGCAGCTACAAAAAGATCTTCTTACTGGTACTTGCTAACAATATTCACACTGTAAAAAGTTCTGTTGAAGTCATTTATAAACTTAAAAATATTTCTCCACTTCGTTCCATTATGGTTTCATTTGATGTCAAATCACTGTTTACTAATGTTCCGGTCGAAGGAGCACTAAATTGTCTTGAAACTAGGCTTCAGGAATTTCACTTCACACATACTGAAATTAATGAGTTGGTTTCGCTTACTAAAGTCTCTCTAAGTCAAACTCACTTTGTTTTCCAAAATGCATATTTTTGTCAAGTTGAAGGATTGGCTATGGGTAATCCTCTCAGTCTGGTACTTGCTGACATTTATATGCACTATTTTGAGATGAAATTATTTGATAAACTATCTTTTCGTCTTTAGATTCGGTATGTAGAAGACACTTTCGCGCTTTTTGACGGTTATAAAGAGGATTTATCCGAGATTCTATCTATTAGGAATTCAATTGATCCAGCCATCCAATTCACTCTTGAAATTGAATCCAACAATTCCCTCCCTTGATATTCTTATAATCCGCAATGAAACTGATTTTAGCACCACTGTGTACCGTTAACCCTTTGCAGCTTATTTACCACCCCATGCTAAGTCATACCACCCTGTTAAGCAAAAAATGGCTTCTTTTTACTATTATGTATTCCGCGTGCTTAAAGTTTGTTCCTCTGAATCTTTGCTTACTAATGAACTTAATTATTTGAGAGCAGTTGCGATTGACCGTGGATTTTCTCCCGTGGATTATTGATAAAGCCGTTAAAAAATTTTCAGATTCCCATCAAAGAAGACATTCCACTGTTAGAAATAATATTAATGACTTTGTTGTGCTTCCATTGTATTCTTCTGTTAGCTATAAAATTGCACGTATTCTCCAGAAATTCAATTTTCAAGTCGGTTTCTCCCCTATTAATAAAATTCACCCTTCGATTCTAAAAGATTGCGTTTCTGTCTTGAATTCTTGGGGAATTTATAGTATATGGTGTCAGTGTGGTTTAAGATATATTGGCCAAACAAAAAGAGCGTTGAAGTTTCTTATCAAGGAACATGAATCTTATGTCAGGAAAGGCGAAATTAACAAGTCTTCAATAGTGTATCATAGTTGGACATTTAACCATAATTTTGACTTTGGGTCTGCAAAAATTATCCAAAAGGCTTCTTCCATAGGTGAATTGGATTTTCTTGAGGGTTTTCATATTCACAAAGATTTAGCATGTTTAGTTAATGATTTTAAGTCCTGAAGGTGCAGTTGCCCCTCGCTCCCTATTTTTAACTTCGCTAATTTTCTTGTCCTTTGTGTTACATGTTTGATCAGATAGCCTTGCTCAGTAAAAGTAGGCGGCCAGTGTAACTCTGTTAAAAAATCCGGTTATAACCACGTGCAGTGCTGATAAGGACCACGGCTTTCTGAGACTTCTTCCCCCTTTATTTTTCTTCTTTCTAGGTATTTCTTTGTCCTGATGAGGAGGGACCTTTAGCTGCCCTCAAAATCGATTGAGTGTTTCAATATACTTACGCTAAATACAAGGTTGTTTTTACGATTTTGAAGTAGTCCTTGGTTCAAGTTAACCATAAAAACACATTACTGTTTGTATAATAAAGCAAAAATCTCATGGAGAACATTCAAGAGCACATGAAAGATCAATGATTCACATAGACTGCTGAAATTGTTTTTACGATAAGCGTTAGATACACCTTTGCCAAATTGGGGGCTGTCTCCACTTATACATAGGAAGTAAAACATTTATGGGGATCAGCAAAATGATGAAACAAAGGGCATGGATAAGTCTTACCATCACCTGGAGTATATGTTTGAGCATCACATTGGCATGTTTGTTGAAATATGTGTAGGAATTGCTGAAATGTGACTTTAATAAAGTATCTGTTAAAAATGGATTTCAGGTACGTTTCTACATGTTATTTTATTTTAAATAAATTGCTTAGTGAAGGAAGTTGCTTTTGTGTATGGGTAACCTTTTATTTCTTATCAAGACTAAAATGCACCTCTTTCTATTTCTCGCTAAGACCACTAACTATAAAGGATGGGTACCAAAAGATGTTGGTGTTTTCTACCAATTATTTTAATTGTTTTTAGCCATCCTATTCCTTCCAGCAGCCAGTCATTGTTTGTCAGGGGTATGGTATGTTCTGGCAGTCATGGCACCGAGGCATGAAAACACAAACCTGCTATTTCCATGTGTTCTGTAAATGTTGCAAAATGAAAATTAAACCCTCTACTTGGTTAGTTTGATTGTTGCCGATGGGATGCTTTGGTGTAAGATGCTATGCAAGACCATTGTGGCCTAGATCCTGAGTGTAGTATTGGCAGGAGCAAGATGGCCATTCAAGTCTCTAAGCTTATAATTCCACCCTACCATGTTGTCTGCACACTGGGAATGTTGATTCTATCTAATTGATTCAATAGTGGCTGTAAGATCTTAGTCAGCTAGTGAAGTGTGAGCATGATTCATTAAGCAAATGTGAATTCTACATCTTCAAGCTGGCTTTTGCTTGGATCCCACCTTTTGCATGATGTGGAGTTTGAGTATTGGCTGTGTAGTGATGTATAGAATTGGAATATGTAAACAAAAGTACTATGACCTTCTCTATATAAATCCAAATTTCAAATTTTCTAAAATTTATTATTAGCAGCTATCAAACTAAAGAATGCCAAATTAAGAAGAGAATAAGAGGTAATAAATGAAGAGAAACATAAATTATATTTCAGAATTTTCATGAAATGAAACTAAGCTTTTTTTCTTTGTTAGTTATTTATATATGTCTATAATTTTACAGTTAGAAAAGTAGGGTATGAAGACAATTTTAAACCTCTCATTGCAACTCTTAATATGTGTAATTATTTAACAGTTTTCAGTTTCTTCCCTTTCTTTGTCACATATATATGTAGTTTTGTGTAGCATCTCTTAATTTATTGTTTCAGTAGGAAATTTATATAGCTCTGTATATTTTATAAGTATTTACTGTTCTAATAGCTATATTTTATGCTCTTTCAGCTTTCAAGATGTAAATTTACCTTTTACCTCAAATGAAGTGAATGTAAGTTTAAGGCTTCTTTGTCACTTGCATTGTATAATAGAGTTACTTATTTTGTAATTCATAAATTTAATATTTTGTGTATATATGCCAAGCAAAATCATAGTTGATTTAAAAAGGATTATAAATTCTTATATGAATAATGCAAAACTGATCATTGAAATTGCAGCACCAAGAAAGAAGTATACATATTTTATGTTTCCTTTTTAAGATTTGCTTATATTTGCCTTATTTATGTGTTCTGTGAATAAACAAAACTGCATACAAATAGATTTTTGTGTTTATTGTCATATAAATACAATAAATAATTATTCGGTTACCAAGAAAATGATTTCAGTTTACATAAATAGATACTGTTGTGTTGGTTTTGTTATTCTTGTGTCAGTCTTGCAATTTTTTTCCCTTTTGAGATTTATCAGCTTACACCTTTAGGTTGCTTTAAAAACAAATTCTGTGTATTTGTTTATACAACTGTTGTTTTATGGCCAGTTTTAGCGGGGGATGCAAAAATGAACATTTTTTATATACTTTACATTTTTATTTTCATAACTTTACTTTTTTGTTTTTATAAGGCAAGAAAATGGCTGAAGCTTACAAAGAGATGTGTAAAGTTTATGTGTTGATTGCTAAACAGAATGCATGTGTCAGAATTGGTTTGAAAAATTTTGTTCTGGGGATTTTTCCACTACAAAATAACTAATGTTCTGGCTTACCTTCTGAAGTTGATAATCTTCAAAAGCTATAATTGGATAATACTTCAAAAGCTGTAATTGGATCGAATTATCTTATAATTATGCAAGATATTGAAAAAAGGTTAAATGTATGACAGAGAATAATTGAAAATCGTGTAAGATGTCTTATACTTACTGAGAAACTCGATATTTGAGTTTCACAGAAATTGAAAGAAATTCACTTCATTCAATATTTGCAATAATCATTTCAAAGGTAACACATTCTTTCCTTTTTTAAATCAGTTGTCACTGGTAAGGAAAAAGATTGTCTACAATAACACTAATAAAATAAAATTCTAATGAAGCAGCACAAATCGTACCAAAAGCTAAATTTCATCAGATAAAGATCCTGCTGTCAATTTGGATACGATTACAAAGGTGTTGTATATTTTGAGCTGCTTCTAAACAACTAAGTAATCAATTCAGATATTTACTGCCAAGAACTTATGTAATTGGGAGATCAAAGAGAAAATGTCAGAATTGCTAAATCGTAAAGGAATCGTGTTCCACCATGACAATGCAAGTCCTTACACATCTTTAGCAATATATCCACAATTACTGGAACTGATGTCACAACCCTCATATAGCCACGATCTTGCACTATTGGATTATCATTTTTTCAAAGTTTACTAAAACTTCTTAAAGTAACTTAAGTACTTGTTAAACAATAAAAATTTCATAATGATGACCTTGAATCACAATTGATTGAATTTTTTACCGATAAAGACGAACTTTTATAAAAACTGAATCATGAAGTTACCAGAAAAATGACAAAAGGTCATTGAACAGAATGTCCAAATACATTTGACCAAATAAAATTCATTTTTTTATGCAGAAAAAATTAAATTTTATATCACACTTAAAAAAAAAAAAAAAAAAAAAAATACTTTCTTGCCAACCAAGTATTTCCAGTGGAATTGTAATCAGTCTTTGTAATCAGTCTTTGATTAACATCAGTTTTATAGTTATCCTTTAATTTTAAAAGTCAATAGATAAATAGATATGCTGATTAATGAATAATGTTTTAAATCAATATTTTAACATGTTAATTTTTAAACACCTATATCGCTCACTTTACATAACATTTTAGTCACAGCTTTTATTTGGAAAACAACCACTTTTAAAGTACATCAGGTAAGATTTTAAAAAAAAACCACATGCATATTACCACAGGTATACTACTATAGCTCAGTTAGTGCAGGCTGATATATATCATTCAGACTTTTGTATGAAGTGCTACCCTTGTGTAAGTAATGTAAGATTGTTGGATGTCTAACTCTTGATTACTTTTAAGTGCATTCAAAACAATATAGAGAAAATAAATATTTTCCAACAATTAAACTTATTTCTGTGTAGATTTTAAAGTAATAATGTAAAATTTTATAGGAGTAGTATATCGATAAAAGTAAATTATGCTTTAATATTAAAATATATGCATATTTTATTCTATTGTGTTACATGCATTTATATATTTAATAAAAATTAAATATGAACTAATTAAAATTTACTAATTATTATGTTAATTAATGAGAATTGATTATATGTATAATTTTAGATGGCGAATTCTAATATCGATGAGACCATCAAAAATGAAAACATTTTAAATAATGGTTATTTTGGGGTGAGTACAGTCCTTTTATATATTTTCACAATTATTAATATACAAATAAGTTTAGCTTATTTTCTATCTTTGTTCAAGCTTTCATTTTGCGTCTAAAGGATGCAAGGATCCTGAGACAGATAACCCTCGAGTGCTTTACCATAATGAAATAAACCAAACTTGTAAACAAATCTTTGTGTTTTATTTCAGTCTGTGATTTTTTGTGTTGCCAAAATGGGAAGTATTGCAACTTCAGCGGAATATTAGTTGCAAGAAATAATTGGATGATTAAATCCTTTCAAGTGTCCTCATTGTGTTAATTTAAGAGGAAATAATCATATTTTTATATTGTTTTGGCTTTGCTGTTTCTAACAGCTCATTTTAAATATGTTCTCTCTCGACTTCCTAAAGGATCACTTATTAAACTAATAGGCAATTACTAGCTGTTTTAGTCATTAAACTGTATGAATTTTAAATGCAAATTTGAAAAATATAAACTTTAAAAAAGTTGTGTAATATGTATAATTTCATAAAATGAGATTTTTAATTTTTAAATAATATCTAATATGAATTTGTATAATCACAGTTAATTTTGTTTAAGATTATGTGCATGCTAAATTACTGTGTAAAAGAACTAAAAGAATTTCTCCAGTTTTTAAGAGAATGTATTTGTTTGTTTGTATTATTTAATTTCACAAAATTATATTGAAGTTTTTTTTGTTTGGTTTGTTTTTGTTTAAATTAATATTGTGTTTGGATAAATGTTGCTTGTAGTGCTAAATACTGTGAAGTATTTACATTGAATTTACTTCCTGTAGGGATATGATACCTCTCATATTTTCACTGCATCCACTTCAACTGCTCAAACACAGCAAGATGTTTTTAATACTCCTTCCTTCACGACTGAAATACTAAAAAATCCTTCACAAGATGTTAACTATAATTTTCCCTCAATACCTGCCAGGTATGTATTCATAATTGTTTTGTAATATATCTTATGAAATAAAAATGATAATAATTTAATTTTTTTTAAACAGCTTGAATTGGCCTGGACAGTTTAATTTTAATATAACATTTGGATCTCAGAAAAAGAACACTAAAGGAGTTTCATGGACAGTAAGTTTTAAAATAATAAAATTTTATTTGAAAATTATTTTTATTTTTAGATATGCGGTTTTGAGTTGCAGTAGAAAGAATTGTTAAATATATTTATAAAATGAGGGAAATTTCAAATATTAGTTAAAATTTATAAAGAATTATGCCACTCTTCCCATGTATGCATGCTGTTGTGATATAACAATAGTTACCAAACCTGTGAGTATCTGGCAATTTGAATAATCTGCAATTTGATTTTTGGTTATGCTAACCAGAACTAATTTAGGAGAATGGTTGGTGATGACAAAAACAAAGCAGAATGGCTTGGATTAAAATAAGCTAGGGAAATGTCTTTACACTGTGAAGGAGTGGAAAGCAAAACTTTCAAAACCCAATATGTAAACTTAGCATGAAAAGAATTATCATTTGAAATATTTTATATTTGTGATAAGCATTTTTACAGAGAAGTTAATTTAAGGATATATACCAGTAAATGGGCACGAAAGTGCATTGAAAAAATAGTGCTATACTTCTTTCTGACTTCTGCTTTTTAAAATATATTTGGATTGCATGTTTTCTGAATTCCTGCTTTCCCATTTCATAAAAATGCAGTAATTATAATTTTTTATCTGCTAAAACAGTGCTTTTTCTTGCAGTATCTGATACAAATATTCATTTCTATTTCATATTTAGGCATTGTTATAAATCAGAATTTATGGTTTCTTTATTATTTATCATATATTAATTGTATTTTAAATGTTTAGACTTCTTTATTGAAAATCTTTCTCTTTTCCAGTATTCAGATGTGAAGAACAAGTTGTATGTTGGTAAAGATGCTTCATGTCCGATAAATTTTTCTGTTAATACCTCCTTACCTGCAGGCATTTTTATACGAGCATTGGCCCTGTACAGTACCGCTGAGCACATGTCTGAAGTAGTTCATCGTTGTGCTAATCATTCTACAGAAGAACAGAAAAAAGGTATTTTGTAATATTAATCAACAGAGTGAAAAACTTAAGAAAATTTTTTAATTTGTTTTCAGATTTATAAAGATAGAAGGATACGCACTTGCTTTATTTCATTATTTTTATGCCAAAGTTTAAATAATAATAACAATAAAAGGCTTATTAGTATAATAATGCATTGTATTCTAGGACCATTGTTCAACATGGCTTTTATGCAAGGTACATATTTCTTTTTAAAGCTGTAGTTTTAATCAGTTCTAGGAAAAAAACCCACAGGAAGAATGCACACAGGTATATATGCTCACAGGAAAAAATCCCACACAGAAATATGCCCACATAGAAAAAAACTCGCATGGAAATAAGCCCACTAATAAATAAAATATTTAGAAATATCCTTACATTAATCAATCTATAATTAATCGATTTGAACATCGTACACATACTTAATTTTTAAAAGAAAAATTATTGGACAAATGCTCACATAAACCTTTTCAGGGGCAGTATATAAAGAATGAAAACTATATAAAAGTTTTGCATGTACTATATTATTTTATACCATGGCCCTGTATGACATTTTTATTTTATTGCCAATAGTTAATTTTTGTTTTTTTACTCTATTTTTGCATGCTTTTGATGTGTATCTATAGAAATTGATATTTGAATGTAGTTATTTAAGTTTGGAGTCAAAAAAGGTCTAGAAGACTGCAGTTTCTAGTTGAAATGTGGAATCATTATGAAGCAGCCTTCGAAAAATCTCCCAAAACCACAAATTGTTACGAAATCTTTCACAAGATACTAAATTCATTATTTAATTGTAGCCATCCCAGTATGTGGTTTTTATTTGAGGGACTCAAAAGATTTAACCTGTCAATGTTTATTATTAGCTATTGTAAATACATGGCATTCTGAAGTTAAAAAAAGAAAAGAAAGCTTACATTTGGTAATCGTGAATCATGCAAGAAACTATGATGAAATTGATAACAAAATTAGACATTTACATGTATTAGCTAATATTCAGCATGTTTATGTATTTATAACTTTCTGAAATATATATTTATGATTTATGTATAATAAAGTATTTTATGTAATTTAAATAAAACAATTATTTCTGTTTGCTTATTCTTCTAAATGTTTATATTATAAAATGGGTAACATATATTTACTGTTATTTTATTTTTTAACAATAAAAATTGTTATATTTTTCAACTGTATATTCTATTACCTAGTTCTTCCTTCCTTCTCTTTTTTTCCTAATTCAAAGCGGTCGATTTGTTAATCTTATATAGCAACTGAATCTACCTATAAGTTATACAGTTTTTGATATATACACCATAGATGTTTTGGTAATTTAAATAATTTTCCTTTGAACAATTGAAGTAGGTGTACAATGTTCAAATCAATTATTGATTGATTAATCTAAGGATGTTTCTATGTATTTTATTTATCAGTGGGCTTATTTCCATGTGAACATATATCTATAAGAGCTTTTTTCCATGTGAGCATTTTTCCATGTGAGTTTTTTTCTGTGTGGACATATTTCTGTGTGAGCATTTTTCCTGTGGTCATTTTTCCGGTCACCATTTTAATCGAATGCAGTAAAAAGGAAATCATTTTTCTATTGTGATATTCTGACAGAAAATTAAACTGTTAATGTTGCTAGTAATAGTGAACATTAAATCAAAACAGAAAAGTTTAAATATATTGAATATTATGTATGTTGTTTTTGCTACATTACTTCAGACAGCTATAAAGAAATTTTTTAGTATGTTTTGTTAAAATTATGTAATTTAAAAATTGTTTTTACATTTTGTCTTGTATTTTAAAATATATTAAATCAAAAACGATAACTCTTCTGTTTTCAGGACCGGATTCAGAAGTATATATATGCACGTGTGTATATATGCATGTGTGTGAACACGCACAGATACATATATACATACATATACAATGCATACAGAAACACGTCCATCCATACATGCTTACACACATACATTCATGAACCCAGTCATGATAACAATAAACCTGCAAAACAATAAACAAGGAAATCACTTCCTCTTAACACTAATTATTCTTCCTGATTTGGTTGAGAGTAATCTCATTTAAGTTTCTGCTTAATTTAATAATTTGTTAATGTTGGACGTTTAAATTTTCTGATTTAAAAACTTAGCATTGTTAGCTGATGCATATCAGTTAAAAATATGGACAGTTAATGAAAAAACGCAAAAACTTGATAACTCAGTGTAAAAGAAATAAAATAAAGTGATTTGGAAGACTATTCCTCAGTCTTTCCAGTAGTGTGAAAATTAAATTCTATAACAAATTTGACACGGTTCATACAGTCCTTAAGAGTCTAAAAATCCTTAAGTTTTTTAATCTATTTTTGGTCCTTAACCCTTTCGACCCGACTTTTGCATGATTATAACTATGAAAAGTAGTTTAATTTAATGTTGAGATACTAAAAAGAAGTGTAATATGAGTTTAAAGCTTTTAACTTTTCCTGTTTCCTGAAAGTCTCCTGGGACAATATGTCCCAATCGTATTGTCAACTGATACTACTTGTCCAAATCGTCTAGGATATTACTCTTTCTCAGAAAACAAAACTAAAATTTATGGTAATATACAATGTGAATATTACAAAAAATCTGCCACATGCATCAGTCCATATACAACAAAAATTTTCATACATGTTCCATAAACATAATATATCAGCATGTAGTAATTTGATAACTGACTTATATATCCCACAAAAAGAATCGATTCAAAATTTCTTCAATCTGTCATTAAAAGATTTAAATGACTACTTAATAAGACTAATAAGAACTATTTCCTACTAAGCATGCCTTAGATATAATTGTATTTACTGTAAAATTTTAAAAAATAGATAAATGAATCTAAATTTAAGTAATCTGCATGCTCAAGAACAAAACTCAACAAAGTGCACCATTTGCAATTTTAAAATGTTGCCGGATTTCTCTAGTCATATATTTGTTCCCTAATTCATTAAAAACACTGCAAACATAAAAACCCATTTAAAAGTGGGCTTTATTTACTCAATAGGCCACGAAATCTAATCTCTGGAACGTATGTGCACATTAGGACCGAAAGGGTTAAAAGTCCTTTATTTTGGCCAAAATTGGCAAAAGATCCTTAATTTTAATCTTCTGAAATTTCTTTCGGTTTTTACGACTGTCATATTGAGTGCGAGTTAGTATTCCGGAGGAATGTTTTTGCCAATTAACTGAAATATGGTTCTTTTTTGAAAGGTTGAATATGCTCATGGGTTATAATTTGTTCCTATTTCTAATGTAAATGGTGGGATACTCGAGTTTCTGAGCAAGAATTGAAACATAAGCATTTCAAAATTATTTCATTTTTTCTAATGAAGAGCTCTTAAACAAATTTGCACTTTTGGGGATGTGAATTCTTTTATTAAACGTCTCTAAATTTGGCGACTTGTCAACATTTTGTGGATTTTAAGATCAGTCTCTATAAAAAAAATGTTAATTCTGAGATCTGGGAATTTTTTGACGATTTTTTAAAAATATTGTAACATTGATGAATTTCAAAGTTCCATGATGACCACTTATTATACAATCTTTTGAATCTGAAAAATAAACAAGGTACAATGCTATAAATCACAATTTATGAAACAGTTCTTAGCAAAAGCAATTTATTAAAAATGTCTTTTTAATTTTTTGATGGTAAGAGTTTTTCCCATGTAATTTTTGTCTCAGATAATTCAGAATTCTAAGAATATGCATCAGTTTTCTCTATAAAATTAATTTTACACTCCCCCCCCCCACTGATTTTTTTTAAATCAAAATATTTCTGCCTTTTTGCTGTTACAGAATTGGTAGGATATTTTTTTTATTTAGCATTTTAGACATTACAACTTTAAAAGTTTAGAGAGATTTGAATGCAAGATTTACAGACCCACGATTCTAGAAGATTCCAGAAAATATGACTAAATGAAAAATGTTTTCATGGTATTAACATGTAATTTCTTACTTTTTGCAGAATGTCTGGGAGGACAATGAAAACATAATATTTGAATGTTTTACTTCTCTAGAATCTTTTTAATATGTTTATCTTTCCTTTGTGTTCTCTGCTTTTCACTAGACACAAACATGGAAAATATCAAAAATGCTTGTAATCTTATCATAGGGCAGGCATGAAATATGGAAACAAATTTTTTGTTAATAAAAAATTGAAAACTGTTTATTTAAAAGATTCATTTAATTGAAACATTTTATTGACATGCCTGATATTATTCGAGATAATATTTCCTAAAAATGACGAATTTTTCAAAAATTTCACTTTTTCTTATGTAATTTTAAAAATAAAATTTTGACTACCTATAACATCTCAATTCCATTAAAAAGGGTAGATTTTTATCTGTAACAGGTTTTCAACAGGTGTCGAATCTTTTGTCAAAGGTGAGCTTGAGAGTGCCGCTATTATAGAGGGGAGGGGGAATAAATTAACAGAATTCTATTTCTCCTAATGCAGCAATTAGTTTTAAAAGGGAATGGTGATTGTAAACATCCTGTTTGATTTGGTGATAAGCAGATTTTCTGCAGTTGATTTTAAGCTAGGTTACTCACACTCATTCCACATTCTAAAATTCAGAAGCGTTTATGGTCTTTGAATGAGTACACAATGGCAAGCTGTGATAACAAAAAAAGAAAAGTTGAAGGAAAAGTGTGATTGTTTCAAGAAAAGTGGTCAGGTCTTTATTTATTTTTTTGTTGTTGTACATAAGGTTAAGGCACTTTGCAACAACAGTTGAGCTGTGATGAAGGAATACAATATTAAGAGACATTATGATACTAAGCAAAGTGAGAAATATTCTTCATTGTAAGTTTATTTTCGGAGTGATAAGGTGAGTGAGTTAAAATCAAAACTAAATTTTGAACAGTCTTTCTTCACCACGATGAATAAAGAATCTGAAAATAGTATTCATGTTAATTACATGATAGCAGAAAAAATTGCTAAGAGTGGAAAAACCCTTTGCT